AAACCATAAAAAGAAGCGTACTTTTACCTTGAATTCTGCTGAAAAACAAAGAAATAATATTTTCCCAGAGTAATTATTATTATACTAAAGAGAAACTTAATTTGGCTATTAAAAACGATTTTCCATTACATCGACTAAGCTATTTGAATGATCCGGCCAAAATTAAGTTTTAAAATTACCTCAAAAACTAATAACTCATTGGTTTATTCAAAATATATTCTGAAATGTTGGAATCAAGGTGAACAGACTCCTCTTGGTGGTGAAAAGACACGCTTGTATTTTCTTGACTTTAATTTCATCACATTTTCACCCCCCATTTGGAGACTGTCTCAAACTCAAATTAACACGCATTCAAGGGAGGCCATGGCTCTATTTCCAAATCTATTTGATTTCAGCTGATCCCTAAGTTGGATTAATATCACTCAACAAATGTGACATCATTCGGTGTTTCAAAAAGCCCCTGGTAACGGGAGAAAAACTAAAGTTGCGGAGAAGTCATATCGCTGAGAGATCCATATACTGACCGCAATTGGTCCAGAGAATAGCCTTTAACAATTATTAGTAGAACAGATCCCGGAGAACGTTAAAAATCCAGATAAAAGGACTGGTGAATAGCAAGGCTTAGAAATCTTACTAATAAGTGTCAGACCCTGTCGAAAGCTGGTAAAACTCCTAGAACTTTACCGTTATTCTCTAGACTCTAGAGCTTTCCCCAATAGACGTGTGACTTGTACTTCAAGTTCCTCAAGTGACCCATTTTTTTGAAACCTTTATTATTTTTTACTGAGAACATCATTGTGTTCTAGGTACGCCTCAGGTATCCTCAGGTATCTTTACGAGCTCTAACTTCAGTGACTAAACGGAATTCGGTGGTGTATTTATCTGAGCGTATTGGCAGCAAATGATTTAAAAAAATAACTATGTCGTTATTATAGGGTTTAATTACTGTTAAAAAACAAGACATCCGTAACAGTTGTATATAGCAGCTGTAAATAATCTTATTTATCACTGTCGACAGGGAATGAAAATTTGCAAATTTCAATATTATTTATATTAGTTACTCCATAAATTCCTGGTATATGGAGTGGATATAAAAATACTCGATCAGGAGGTCGAACAGATGGATAAATCCAGAGATTTTATAGTTATTTGGGTAATATCAATTATAAGTAAATAAATTATAACATTAGCTTAGTTTTTTAAACGTAAATAAATATAATTTACTACATAAAATGAAAATTGTTTTAAGATAAATTCGTCGTGAGTTTCATAATTACAATCCGTCAACCCCTTTTAATTCGAAAGGAAAGTTTTATGTTTATTTTAACAAATAATATTTATATAATGCGAAGTAATTAAATATGTTTGAATTAATTGTTAGTATTTGATGTGTAAAGTGGAGTCCTCTCAGTATTGTGAGAGTTAAATATGTATAATTCAAATTTTGTATATTATTGTAAAAATCTTATTAAATATGGTTAACAATTTACAGCTGTTAATATTGATGTCACATCTAGTTTTCTTGTTACCATACCACTGGAAAATCACAGAATTAAGGTTATTACTTTGTATTCTTTAAGTCACACATTTTATTTTAAAGTCACTAGATGTAATGTACATACAAGAATATAAAAAAGAAATTTTATTCAAGCAATACTAAATACGGTTATTAAAATGTTTACACAATTCGTGGCATTATACAGATTTTCATTGTTGCATGAATAAATCGATATTCGTATCTATATTCATCTTAAAGAAAATGTGTTCCAGGCTAGGTAATATTATCTTTTTTTAAAATATTTGGAATCTATTTCTAATAATTTTTTTTATGTATTTTTTCTTACTGGCTTGAAATTATTAAATTTATAATGTAATTTTGTACTAAAAATTGTTTTTAATTATATGTTACATGTTTTCTATAGCAATTAATTTCTTAACTCTATAACATACTATTGTATATTGTTGTTTGTTATTTAAGCATCGTCAATAGCAATGTATACTTGTATATTTAAAGTTACTACATACGAACAAACAACCTTTGACCAAAATAAATTCCCTAAAATATTTTGGTCAGCATTATAAAAATTTCTAAATATTTTCCTAATTTTATAAATGCCCAAATCGACATATTTTGTTGCTTGTATATTGTTATTTCTGTGAAATTAATTAAATGCATATTTGGCTTCATAACTCAATTTTATTTTTGTGTCTTTTTTCTTCTTTATAATAAATTAATTATAGATGCTGACATAAAAAAATATTTCTTTTTGTTTTCTGGGAAACGATTTTGTTGGGATACGTTTTAGACATTTTTGGAAACTTATTGGACAAACACAGAGTCAATGTATAGAGTGTATAATATATATATATATATATATATATATATATATATATATATATATATATATATATATATATTTTAAACCTTTCAAACCTTGGAAAATAACTATAATTAAGTTACCTATGAAAGTTTGAATAACCAATATACTACTTTAAAGAAGATTTAGATTTGATCTATTCTCTACTCTCTGGAAGTCGATGATCCCAACAAAAATTTTGCAAGTTGTACTATTAATAAATTTGTTGAAAACGTTTTGTTTGGATTCATGGTATTAATATTACTAATATGAATTCTACTTTCTACCCACAATAATTATGATTACTAACTATCGTATATGTCACGTTAGAGCTTTAGTTTAAGCTGGTGATTAAATGTAATGTATATGTGTAGCAATCAGTTAGTTAACAATTATTACTTGATGCCATTTTCAAACATGTTAAAATTTTTCCGATAAAGATATAATAGACAAAATACGATTTTGTACACTATTCGAACTTGTATATAATACATCACATGGGCTGAAAACAAAGAAAAAATATTTTTTTGTTCAAAATTAGATTTATTGATCAACGTAATCTCTATCAAGAGCAATGCAATCATTCCAGTGCCGGTCTACCATACATATGTCTACCACTTTTGTAGAATGATTTACATATGGTTTGTTTCAAAATAGGCCTTTGTTTCAGCAATGACCTCTTCATCCGTACGATATTTCTTACCTTTCAGGTAAGATTTTTTTTTAATTTTTTTCATGTCTGTAAATGGCCAGTAGTCACTGGAAGTCAAATTTGGTGAATACGGTGTATGTGAAAGTGATTCGAAATTCAATTCATGTATATAGTTTTACCATTGTTTTGATTGACTTATGACACCGTGCGTTTCTTGATGAAACAAAGTTTAATGTTAATTTACTGTTAATGGTAAAAACCATTATACCATTCAGGAAGGAAATCCTTCCTCACGTTAGTCGATGAATATTACACCACGCACATCCCAAAATACTGAAGCCAAAACCTTTCAAGATTGTTGTGATTTCGGGCGCTTTGGACGAGGTTCACCAGTTGCTATCCAATCAAGTGATGGATCCATTGTCACATATCGAAGCAAAAATTTAGATTTGTTACGTTTAAACATGGACAAACACTGCTCAGAATCATCAACACGTCGTCATTTTTGGTTAACAGTAAGCAAACGCGGCACCCATTTTGAAATGAACTTTCTCATAGTTAAATGTTCATGCAACAGGATCTTTTGATATCTTTACGATGTCAGCTAACTTAAGCATCTTCACTTTTCGATCGTCCAAAACGATTTTCGGGATTTTTTATGTTTTCTAGTGTTACCGCTTCATTTGGACGTTCCACTACATTTTTGATCATCCTTGTTTCTACTACCACGTTTGAAGTCAGTAAGCCAACATTTTATTCTTGTTTCTGATGGAACAGAGTCCCCATTACACTTTGCAAGCCATTGCTTTGCTTGAACGGCATTTTTTCCCATCAAGAAGCAGAGTAAAATTAAAACACAAAATTGTTATTGACCCACTGTTTAAAAAATACCAAAAGTAGCATCACTCTTAGCACAATAACTCATAAAGTAATGAATAGAATATTATGAAATTTTAACAGCTATCTTTTGAAGATTAATATTAACTGGAAAAAAAGGTAACTACGACGAAAGTAGCACCATCAATGTGTTAGGTCCGGGACATTTCAGGCGATGTAATCATCGTTCTTTCAATTCCTTGAAAACGCTGAGAAAAAAAAACAAAAAATTTCAAAGTATTTATTATAACTTACATGTAAACACTAAAAACAAAATCTATTTTTAAAAAGATTCTGTAACATATTAGAAATTTGTCAGAATAAATATTTTGTTTGAATTAACATAAAGTGATTGCAAATTAATTGAAGAAGGGAAAAAATCATAAAAATGTCTCATTTTTATTATAATATACGATTGTTATAAGAATTTAGCAAGACTTTTTACAGAGGTTGAGCGATAAAATCAAAATATGAAGTATTTTCCTTAATGAAACGGTGCTTGACTTAGAGATGTCAATATAGTAATAATACGCCACTTGGGTAAGGCTCTTTAAATTTACATTACTTCTAATAATGCTTCGTTTGAAAGACATTTTCCTTACCTATATAAAAGAATTCCTTTTCATAACGAAATTCAATAAAACATAAATATTTCTGACGTTGTAGATGTCTATTATTTTGGTTAGTAAGATTTTTTTAAGTTGATTAAGTGAGTATATTTTTGGGACTGCCTTAAATAATATTATATAATGTTGTATCCTTTTAATAGATATAATTTTGCAATCTGACAGGATCAGTATTAAATTAATTATCGAAGCTTTCTCTGCTATTACTAACAAATTACCCAAACTGAGCCTTATTATAACAAGGCGTTAATCATTTTCGCTTAATTAAATAATATTAAATAATTTTAATAAATCAAGTATTTATAAACTCATTTATACATACATAGTATGAACATTTTTCATAGTTTGGTATTACGAATAATTATCTATAGTTTAATAAAATTTTCAAATAAACACTTTGAATACAAAAATAAAGTACATTTAAAAAGAAAATCAGAGACATGCAGTTTAACAGAACGTCAGTGTTAATGTATGCATTGTCGTCTACAGGTTCTGGTGAGAGCGTGTCACAGGATAGCAACATTCCTTCACACTACTCAACTCCAACTTCAAACTGGAAACAAAGGCATGAATCGGCAATGATTGCTGTTGTTTTTAAAATTCAGTGTTCTTTCCAAGGATGATTTTTAAAATGAGTGATGAATGATCCGAATTGAATGATCCATTATCCTACTAAACCTTAAGGTTCTTTCTGATAATAATCAGTATCAAAAAATACTCCGTGTAAACTTTGTTAAAGCATCTCAAATAATTATATTATTTTAATATTAATTGCAAATAATTATTTTATAGCTGCACTTTAATTATATTATAAGAAAGCTTATCGTATTATGAATATTATCAATTTTGCGATTGCAAACTGCCATAAGTTATAAAAAACAGACTTTATCTGCTAAAATCAGGATGATGATAGATCCATGTTATCATTAGATTTTTTTATTAAATAACCGATTTTTTAAAAAGTATTAATAAGTTTCACTACTAGAAACTAAATTTTGTAGTTTTCTTAAATCTAAATGTGTGTGCAATTCTCCAAATATTTTTAGAATAATTGCTTTAATATTCAGTTGCAAAATTTAAATTACTTTTATTTATTCATATACAGACATATAGACGCGTATTGCTTAGTTAATGACATGTTTAATATTTCATGCGACAAAAGGAGTGTATAATAAATTCTGTTGAACCATTCGGATTATAATCGTATTAAATTGTCACGTAAAAATAATTTAACATGAAATGTGTATTCAAAATAATGACAAAATAAGTTAAAATCAGTAATTATTGGGACGCGAGGGTATTTAGGGTGAATAAAAGAACCTATTTATTAGTTTACTCTCTCTATTTTGATAAAGCTATTTTTCTCAAATCTGGAAGATGAAATTGTGGAAGAAGATATTGACATATGTATTACATATATATATGTACTACGTATGTCACATTAGTATGTAGTTCTCTCTTGCTGGAGATGTTTGTGAATAGTGTAAATTTAACTACGAGTACATATCCTTATATCTAAACAATTAAAAGATTCTGGCTTGGAGATAACTGTATTGCCATGTGCTGTTATGAGAGAGATAGCAGAAAGAGTGAGTCAGTTTTGACAAGAGAAAGCAGAAAGTTTGAGTCCCGGCAAAGACTTTTGTTTTTTTAAATGTCCTGTTAACTGAGATTTTTAAATGTTGTGGCACTAGCCATCCCAGTTGTTTTCGTTATTTTTACCAAATTTTCGCCAGTGATATTCAATTTTTGTTGTAATGTCTCCAAGCTATCTGCCCCAAACTGGCTTTGCATTTTAATATTTTTTTACGTAAACCTTAAGTGACTTAATTATGTATTAAAATACAAATCCACTTTGGGACAAATGGTTTTATCACTTCCCACTATCTGCCAGTTACTATTCCCACTATCTACCAGTTTGGTCAGCTGAAGAGAGCATCCATTATATGAATCTTTAACTTAAATTTTTATACCCACCATCACCGTTATTGGAATATATCGCCTTGAAACTATAGTCAAAGTTTCGTTTATTAACATGCAGGGTGCATCGCCAGAGATAAGATTGATGATAAGAGAACTAAGGTATTAAATGATTATCTTTGTATCTCAAAGATGGTATTTTTTTCAAGAAATTTAAAAAAACGAGATTCAGTATCATTGTAAACATTAAAAGACTCAGGTAAATTGTTCAAAAGACCGAGGAAAATGGAGAACTGGTATACCTTTTATTTGTGCACCATGAAAGCGTTCGACGCCATCTAAACTCGGGCTGAAGTATACAGTGCAGAGATGATGAGATTAAAAGGTGTTTTCCAGGTGTGTTGTTGCCGTAGGAGTATAAGATAAATTATAAGTAATGAATAAAAGGAAAACATATTTCACTTCAAGCAAGTTGAATACGAAAATAATTTTTAATTGAATTTAACATTAAATTTTAATTATTTATAAGAAACACGGTTTAATGCAATATATCTCTTACAGGAGGGTATAAAAGAAATTATAGAATTATTTCGTAAGGTATGTTTTGTCATATTAGGCACATATGTCATATGTTAAGAACGCTAAAAGTATTTCTAAAAAAATATTTTTAATAGGTACCTATACTTATTGCAAAAAAAAACTATCAAAAAGAATCTAAATATTTAACAAAGAGAGAAACTGATGTTGTTATGAAAACTTTACTCCTTGTAATATTATTCCAGGTCCATTGAAACAACAAGCCAAATATTTGCCAACCTTAATTCTGAGTTGTTTTTTGTCACTGTGTTTAGAATTATTTTATATGGGATTTAAATATTTAATCAATTGTACATTTTTAGTGCTGGTTAAATAAATCTGTAAATTCATATTGGAATATAATATTAGGTCGTTGCTACGACATCAATTAATATTTGGTTTAAATACAAGCTAATTCGTAACTTTATATCCAAAACAAAAACTTGGTTTTTTATAAAATTCATTCTAAATTCGTGTAATTATATAAATTAAAACTTACTCTAAATATATAAATTTGTTAAGGTTACTCAAACCATAGCGTCCACTAGCAAAAAAAAACAAATGTTATTATTTCATTCCATAAATAAAACGAAAAAATATAAATATTTGATTCTTGAAGTAATTTTAAATGTGAACATTTTTTGATATTAATGACTAATACTATGGTGAACGAATGTTGGAAACTTTTCAATACCTTGAGTGGTTTTGTGTTTAAACTTACAATTTACTAATTAATGATTTTAGAAACTGCACATCTGTCATGTTATAAAAACAAGATGTAAGCTACATTTCAAAGTTGAAAGTTAATTTATATTTTTGCTTGTATTCAATAAAAGTTAAACTTTGTAACGACGACTTTACTGTGAGATTCTGGCAGGAGTTTGGAAGTTTAGGTACGTATTTGCATAAAATGGTTTTTAGTATCGATTTGAAAAGGCACATTTTTTAAAATTATGTACTGTTAAACTATATCGCAGCCTAACGCATTTAATATTTTCATACGTTTATAAATTTGCAATTGCATAATTCATTAAAGATGTTGTACAGAAATTTGACAAAGTCAATGCAGTATTAAGTATTAGGATTGGAATAAAGCAAAAGGATTCTGTAAAGAATCATACCAGCTGCTAATTCTGAGTTAATGAAATTCTGCTTGCATATTGTGGAGTACTATAATAATAATCACCATGTTGTCAATGATTTATACTTAGACTTTCTCTTAATGTTGGCCTTAAGAAATATGTATTTATAGCCTGTGCCCCGGAGACACTTTTATAATATTCATTGGCTACAATAAAATCTGTTACTGTTTCAATTATAAATATTTTTAAGATCCAATAAACTTTTTAGTGTATTTAATAATATTAAGCTATGTTTAAAATATGTCATTAGCAACATGCCATTCAAATGGAGAGCAGCAAGTTCTTCTAGTATAAGTATCTTCCTAGTCAGTTATCTATTATTGAAAAACTTTGTTTAAGAGAACCTGATTCCTTTGATATGCTAAACATCTGAAGGCCTAGATGCAATATGTGGATTACTTTCTCGTTAATAATCGACACAGAAACTTAAAGGAAGAGACTTAAGGACTTAAAGGATCATGGAAATCATTATTTTCAAAGCATAATATTAATTTTAGCAGTCTGGATACGATAAAAAGAAACAAATATTTTATAGGAGTAACAATTTTACCTCGACAATTTATAACATAACATTTTACAAAAATGCATGGTTCTGTTAGCTGATAACTTTGATTTCTAAAATATATTTGCAAAAAAATATGTTGCACACATTTTTGTTGTTTTATACAAACACAACAAAATTGTCGTGGAGAAAATAAAAATATACTGTTATTCTAGTGTGTGCCTTTTACTTCTATTCTGTATTATTTAACTATTTTCTTTTATTTTTACAACATACTGAGTATTAAATGTATATCAAATACATCTTTTAAATTTAATATGTGCTAGAAGTTGTTACTTATATATTTTTTTACCGACTTCAAGCTTTTGTATGTATATATATATATATTATATGTATGTATGTTTGTACGTTTTATGAGTTTTTTAATCAAAAAACACTTAAGTAGTTTATATATTTGAGTTTATTCAAGACACGAGTTATAACTTTTCCTTTTTATTTCTGTTATATTCTTTCAAAACATACCTATATATGGAAGTTATTGACGTACAATTTTGAAGTCCATTTTAGTTTTTTTTTTTATAAAAATATAACTCATATAGAGATGAGAGAGAAATTCATCTGATATAAATTGAAAATATAGATTTATAAAGTAAAATGAATTATGTCAGTAGTAGGTATGAGAAGATTTTTTTATCTTTTAATTGTGTGACTTAGCATGATAATATAATGATGATTAAATTAATTATCACAAATAATTTTAGTCTGTTTTTATTTAAAAATATTAAATTAAAAAAGGTTATGAATATTAAGCTTACATAAATTTGTAATGAACTAATTAATTATTTTTATACCTAGTTTTATGCTAAGCTCAAGGTTGTTTTTAGTAAAGATAGGATCTACGAATTAATGATGAATTGTACATATGTGTCTTTTTCTACCTGGCAATTTCTCATCTATAGCCAGGGTCTGCCTTACATTTTGTGAATAGTTTTGACTATATTATGTATGTTTTTACGACCGGCCGCTTGCCTGACATCAACTCTCTTTGGGAACCAGCATTAATCAGTGATGTCTTAATATTCTTAGAAATTACATGACTCGGAAAAATCACATTGGTACTTGACCGGGCCAGGATCGAACCCTCGAACCCTATAACTGCATTATAGTCAGCTGAAAATGACACATATATGTTTTTAGTTAACTTTTTTTTAAATATTTTGTACCATTTATTTAACCCTAAATAAATTAATGGTTATCAACGTTTTCATTGAAATTTAAACTAACTATAAAGGAAAATGTAATTATTGGCCTTTTAAAATTTGAATTCGTCGTTATTTAGGTTTTATGTATTGGATCGGTGTCACTTATAATGTTGTTATATAATATATAAACTAGATTTACGTGTTATTCATATGGCAAAATTTATGAGAAATTTTATCGATAACCTTATATCGATATCAGTGACAGAATAATTTCCTGATCA